TTTCTTTCCCTAAGCAGGATTTTTTTTTTTAACCATTGATGCTTTTTGTACAAAACACGTCTTCATCAAGTCTTCAAGCATATGCACTCAACCTTCAAAAAATAAAGGTTTTAGATTATCTGTAAGGATATTTTCACGACATAAGATTTTGCCTATTAAAATTATTATCATTATAAAATTACTATAAAATTAACTTTAAAAATAAGAGATGGATGAAATGAATCCACTTTACTCATTTAAAATTTCAATTGAGAATAGTTATTTTAAGAAAAAAGTTAATATACCCATCGATAGTACTAGCTGCTAGAAAAGTAGTCTCCTATTCAAATTCTTTTAGACATATAATGTTAACATTACAAATAGAAGACTCGATGAAAATGTATAAACAAAATTTACACTTAAAATGTATCAACTTCAGTTAACTTCTAATCCATTTTTAGTCTATTTAATATATATATATATATAATATATATATATATATATTATATAAATAAATAAAAGATTGCCATGTGGTTTATGTGAGGTCATAATCTTCCAATTTTCTTGCAGCTTTTGGGTTGCACTGTCTTATATCTGATTTTATGATTATATCATGTTTCTTATTTATTTGCCACGGTAGTTCTACCTACATTGCCCAAAAACTGCCAATGAATAATATATACACTCTCATAATCTTTCGACTCATTCCCATCTTATTCTTTTAGTTCTCTTTCATGTTTATCATATATAGCAACATATTATGTTTCACTTCTAAACTTTTGATATCTCAACAAAAATTTAAGATTTAATGCACACAACTTTATTTAACTAAATTCAAATTTGCACTAAGACATTATCACACTAAGACATTGAAATAATAAGCTCTCTTTTTTTTTACTATTCACTATTAAACTTTCGTATTTAAATTTTTAATATAATATAATTATTCAAAATAAAAAAATTGTTTATTAATTTTTTAACATATAATCTTATAATAAATCTTAAAAAAATTTAACACATATCCAGTATCCACCGTCGTCTAGTATGTATTAATTATAATAAGAGAGTTGCTACGGTACCCTTAAAGATGGAGGAGTTTCAATACATTTTTCTATGTAAACTTATAAAAAAATTTAAAAAAATTAATTTAATTATAAAATGAATAATCTAAATTATACTTATAAAATAAAAAATAAGATAAAATTATAGAGATTAAAATTATAAGTTTTCAATAATATTATAAAATATTAAAGAAAAAGAAAAAAATTAATAAATAGTAGAAATAAAAAGTTATTAAAATTACAATATAGAAATTCAAGTTATCAAAATTACAATATAGAAATTCAAAAATTCAAGACAAAAAGACAAAAAATATACTTAAAAAATTATTAAAATTAAAATATAAAAATTCAAAGATTTTAAGTGAAAAGATAAAAATATACTTAAAAAATTATTAAAATTAAACTATTTAAATATATAATAATATTATTACAAATAAATTAGAATATCTAAAATAAAAATAAAATAACTAAATAATTTAAAATTTGAAAGAATAAAATATCATAAATATTATTTAAATAAATTACTAAAAATATAAAATATAAAAAACTGTACCGGTACCCTCTCAAATAAGATGGGTACCATAGAATTTCTCTTATAATAAATCTTAAAAAAAATTTAACACATATCCAGTATCCACCGTCTTCTAGTATGTATTAAATAAAAAAATATTTTTACTAACATTTTCTGTAATTTTTTAATCACTACGTAATATGTTTTGCTTGGATTCTCAACTCTTCTTTCTGCAAATTATTGTAAGACAAGGTTTTAAACTATTATTTAAAGTAAAAATATTATTTTAAATTAATTATCAATAAAATGAAAATACAGATGTCCCCATCAACCATGACACGGTTTCCATACTTTCGAACTTACACTGAGCCAGTCATTTTTACTTTTAGAACCCTATCCAAACCTTGATAAATATCCATATATATGTAGAGACAGAATTAAAGTACCAAAAGAAAATTTAAAAAAAAAAAAACACATCATACTATATCTATCGATTGCATTGTCCTCCTCCCACTTCACATCATTAAATCTGCAAAAACAAAATCAAATTTAAAGATTGTTATCCTGATAAAAAAAAATTTATAGAGTAAGAAAAAAATATACACACCAGTCCCAGATAATAGTATGCTCCATGCTGCAGCGGGTGAAGAGTGACACCCCACTCGTTGGTGGGAACAGGATGGCCAGAAGAGTAGAAAAGCATGGCCTCATCCCCGAAAGCTTGTCGCACGTTGAAGGGTCCCACTGCAACCTCAAATGCGACGTCGTTGAAGAACACTGTACATTGTGCCCTATCTGCTGCACCATCACCAACACCTGACACACCGAATCATCTCTCATGTGCAAGTCGAAAAACACCACTTACAACTAGTTAGCTAAGCCATGCACACGTCCATGTACATGAACAGTGCAACACACAGACCCCTAATTACCACAGTAAGAAAACATTGTTGATCACAAATGTTATAGTAACACACAACTCGTCAATTTTCTTTTAAGTGCACATGCCATCAAAATTGATTCAACGTGTTAAAAAAATTGCTTAGATTAAAGTTAGAAGTGTATTTAAAAGTTTTTTTTATATTGAGAATAAGAAATATTTTTTAAGAAAAAGTAATTAAGAACATTTTTAACGTATACAAGGGATTAATTATTTCTACCAAAACATATATTACCTTGAAATTGGTTGATGGGGCATGGAGCAGAGATTGGTGTGCTGGTGCTGGGATGAACAACCGTTGTAAGTGGAGTTGTTGTGAGAGAGAAATTGTGTTGTGGGTGTTGGTGCATTATCTTCAAAGCCTTCTCTTCATCTAGGTCCTTCTTGGAAGAGGTTTCATGATTAGTGATCTCATTGAGCAAAAGACTAGTGCAAGGTCCAACATGTTGAGATTGCATCATATTGTTGGAGAAGTCAGGGAAGGAAAATCCAAGGGTTGACATGGCATCAGTTGCTACACATTGTCCATTGTTGTGTGCCAAGAAGGAGAAAGACTCAGGTGCTGGTGGTAGCAAATTGGTTTCATTGTGATGGTAAGGCTGAAAATAAGTCTGGTTCACTGAAGTGGTGGGAGAATTAGGCACTGCATCGTTGACATTTGAGAAGCCAAAGGAGAACCCCTTGGGATGCATAAATTTTTTAGGAGAGGATTTTTCTGAGGATGAAGAAGATGATGAAGGTGGTGTCATTTGAGGGAGAGAAACAGCGTTTTGATGTGCTTCAGCATTTTTGTTCTTTGAGTTTTGGAGGTGGCGAAGCTTGTGTTTGCTTCTGGATTTACGGTTCTGGAACCAGTAGAAAACATTTGCATCACCCACTTGGCCATACTCTTGCAACTGCACCCTGATCCTCCTTATTTCATCCCTTGGGGGATTCACCATCCCAGAGTTGAAGATGGCTTCCAGAATGCGAATTTGTTCAGGTTTTGGATTCCATCTTGGTTTTGGTTCTGGACTTCTCTCTTCACCTTCTGCAGCTACAAAGGACAAAATAAAAGAAAAAGTAAAGTACCTACATTTCATGAGTGAACTGCGATGTCAATCAATTATATGTAAAATATATGAAATTTGCAAAAATTAGTATATCACACCAAAAGTATGGACATCAAATGTTAATTTGTGTAAACAATTAGTATATAAAATAATAGCCTAGGTAACTGACCTTTGGTGTTTAACATTCAAAATGGTAGTCAAACATTGTTATCTTTTTCATTAGACATTGTAACTGTTTCAGTTTCAATTCGTTTACATAATTTAAAAATATTGAAACAGTATTCTACACCCACTTTTCATGGAAAAGAAGTTGAATTCATCTCTCTTTCTTTGTACCATGAATGAACATGCACACACACAAAAAGTGAGTACATGACAGCACGAGTATTCTAATTAAATTTGAGCCTGAATAATAAAAGGTGATTTTTTAAAGTAAAACTATGACTAACCTGTATTATAAGGGCTTCTTTGACATCCATTGGGCAAGAGAGAAGAGTTGGTGTCATTTTGCCATTGGTTGTGGGGATTGCAAGGCTTGGATTTGAACATGCTTGGCCAGTGTCGGTTGGAAGAAGACATGATATGGCGATGATGGTAGAAACTGAGTGAAGATAAGAGCAGAATTATTGAAGTGGAAGCCAACCAAAAGAGAAACCAATCAGAGAAGCATCCCTTTTGTAGCTCTGAACCGAATTCACTAGGCCAACGTATGTAACATATCTCTTCTTATATATAGCCTTTTCACCTACCCCTGTGTGGTTGTGTCTATCACCATTCTATTCCAATAATAACAATATTAATAACTATTATTAATAATAAATCTATTATTATTTTCTAGTCAAACGTGTAACATCCCTAACAGAAACATGACCATGTTAAAAATTATACAGTTACATAAATTTTAAAGTTAGAAAAGAATTGAAAAGCCAATAGTTAAGCATGCATAAAAATGAACGACACACACAACATGAATCACCTGTGATAAGAAAAAAAAAAAAAAAAAAAAAAGGCATGTCTGCCATGATCCTTTGCGCTATAGCTAGCTTTTGCTTACACTTACTTTTGTATTTGTAGCCTGACAAGAAAAGTACTTGCATATGCATATGAGTGTGGAGGTTGTTTTGAAGTACTAGAAGCAAAGGGAACATGGATAGAAATACATGGTACAGAATTAAGAATCTTGTTGCTGTGAGTGTGAATATATATGACCTAAGAGGCTTTAATGCTAGCTAGGGCTTTGAAAGGAGATGCAGGATGGGTTGTGAACTATGTCCAGATTTGTATAGAGAAGGGAAAGAGAAAGGGCGTTTGCCAAGAGTGAATTAATGGGAAGAGGGGAAGAAATAAAGTGTGGGATTATTCTAATGGAAGAGGTTGTTGCAGGAGTAAATAAGGGGTGGGGGTTTCAAAGTCATCAAGTGTTTGATTGGAAAGCGGTGGTGGGTTAGTAATTGCAAGTTATTTAGGTTATTTTAGGCAAAAAAAAAAAAAAGAAACGGGGGTTTTTGGATTGACTCGAGGGGCCTATTTATTATCCATTACATATACTCCATGTATTTTGACTGAAATTTCTCCATATGTCTAGTCATAAGGTGCATGAACCCAAAGAGTTACTCTACAAAACAATTTTATCAATATTAATTAAAATTATAGCAATTTAACTTAATTAAAATATTTCAAATTTTAGTGAAAAATGTAATAAATATATTATAGAAATATGGATAAAGTTGGATTTATTATTCATAAAAAAGAAATTGAATTTGTTTGTTTCATGTTCTAAAAACTCATTACGAGAATTTATATAAGCACGAGAATGTGGTATTCCTTTATTTGTTATGAGTTTTTAAAAAATATTTTCGGATACAGTGTTTATTTCATTAATAACTAAATCATAATTAAGTTATTTTTAATTTTATTCTGATGATAAGAAGTAAAAAAGTTATATTTTTATGAGAATGTGAGAAATTATATTTCTTCCAAGAACTTAGATATAAACTAAGAAGAAACTTATGAACTGAAATATTTTTTTTTGTTCGTCTCTGAAGTATCTACTGTTGATAGTGGTGACAAATCTCCTCGCTAGGTTAGAGGTACCTCAAAAGGTGGGATAACTAACCCTAAAATTTAACACGGCTACATACACAAGGCGGAATTTGAACCCTGACCTTGCTTAAACGTGGACCAACCCCTACTGTTGAATTACACGCTTGAGGTTAATGAACTGAAATATAAATAAATTTTAATAATTATTTTTACTTTATTTAATGATGATATTATTTTAAAAATATTTTAAATTAATTAATTAAGATTAAATAGTAACATTTTTATTCGTGATATAAGTTCAAAGGGTAAAACAGAAAGAAAGAAGTTTGTATTTAAGGTCTTTGCATCTACGCTCTTCACATAATCTCATCATCACTCAAAGAAACTCGCGATCCTTCCAGAAAACAAATGGTACAATCAAGTAATTTGATGACTGATCAGGGGATGTGCGGGATAATTGTGATCAATCGGGTTAAAATGGTTGCAGTATAATTGTAATGAGTATTAAATTATAATTTTTTATTTATCAAAATATCTATCATATTAAATGAGGGATTAATAAATAGTTTTACTATGACTAATATATTAAGACAATTCATTTAAAAAATAATAAATATATTTTTTATTAAAATTTCAATAAATTATATTAAAAATAAAATAAATGTGTGCTTATAATATTTTATAATTTTTTTTAATTAATGTAAATCACACATTTGTTAATATTTTAGAGAAAAAAAACATAAGTTATTAACATAATTGATTATATAATACAAAAAATAAAAATAAAAATCAATTGTGTATTTGAACGGTTTGAATGTCCAAAAATTAGGATTCTATTTCATAATTAACGGTCTGAATATATAATTTTATGAAAAGAAAAGATTTTTATTTTATTTTATATTTTATATATATTTTTATATTATTTTATTAGTTATTCAATGACTTTAGTCGACCTAACTCAAATATGATCGGATTAACATATAGTTCAGATTTTCATTCTTTTAACAAAAAATGCAATTCAACCTAAAACAACTCTTGGGGCCAGCTATCCCACCTTTGAGGTGCCTCTAACGTAGCGAGAAGATTAATTACTACTATCAGCGGTGGATACTCTAAGGACAAACCAAAAAAAAAAAAAACCTAAACAATTCGAGCCGTGTTAAACCATGGTGGTGAGTGTCTTGCTTCCCACTGACTAAGAGGTTTGATCATTACACCAAAGTACAGACTTATTTGTTTAGTCGTTTTAAGAAATTCAATACATGTATGTACCATGATGAGCAGCTTTGAATATGAGATGCTTTAAACAGCAAAAATATTGTCTTTTGTGGAGAGAAAAAAATTATGAAACAACTTGTGATTAAGCTGTCAGTGTTTCAGAATGACCACACTATAATGGTGTTTGGAAGATGCATGTATAGGTAGGTTGTGTCCGTATGCTCTTTTAAGCGACTTGTGACAGGTAAATCGTTGAAGGAATCAATTAATATAGGTGTGACTTTTTCCTGTTTTTTTGTCTTACTAAGAGAATTTAATGAAGTTGTTTAGTGTGCAAAATATATAAATTCTTTCAAAAATGCTTGTCGAATCCAAGAATAAATAAATAAATAAATTATACTTTTGTTATTTTATTTTATTTTTAAAATTTATTTTAATCTTTTAAAATATTTATTTTAATTTTAATTTTTTTAAATTTACATTAATTTAGTTCTTATGAAATAATATTCATCTTATGAAATAATATTCATTTATGAATGTAGGATATGATTTTGAATATTTTTTTTTACTAATTTAAGATGTAAAATTTGTCTTATTAATTAGATTCACATACATATAAATTATTGAATCCAACTAATGTTTAAACAAAAAAAGTAAAAAAGCATGATGAATATTGTGTGAAAATGAGTTCAATAAACAATTAGAAAATTAGACTTCCTTAGAATGTGTACCTTAAAATCAGGGGGTAGTTGAGATAACCTTTTGCCTTTAATAAAGTTCACCAATAATAGTAACTACCATTCTAGTATTGAAATGATACTCTATGAAGTCCTGTATGAGAAGTGTAAGACACCTTTGTATTGGTTAGAACCCAGAGATAACCTTGTCTTAGAATCTAAAATAGTGTAGCAAACTACTAAAAAAGTTAAGTTGATCCAAGAAAGGATGAGAACAACTCAAAGTAGACAAAAAAGTTACAAAGATAAGAGAAGAAGGAACCTTGAATTTATTGAAGAAGATCATGTACTCTTGAAAGTCACTTCTTGGATTGGGATTGATTGAGCATTTAAATCATATAACCTTTATTTTCCTTTCATTGGTCTCAATTCAACTAAAAAAGTGTTGACTAGTTGCCAACCAAATTGCTTTACATATTTTTTTCAAACCTCCATATATAGTTTCTTCCATGTTTCCCGCTCAAACAATATGTCCACAATCCTACTCATACCTTAAGTCTAATAATGCTTAATTTAAATAAAATCTCACTTGTAAGACATTGTCATTAAAGATTTATGACTTAAGGTGAAACAACTAAGAGGAAAGAAAATTCCTTTGTTAAGTTTGTCTAGGGAGAAATCACTAAAGAGAGTATTGTATGGGAGCTTGAAAGTTAGATGAAAGTATCATATCCATCCTTGTTTGCTTCAGGTGAATTTCAGGGACAAAACTACTTTTAAGGAGAGGAGTTGCAACATGCCAAGTTTTTCTTAAATTATGTTTTAGTATTTATCAAATATTTTAAGACTTTTTATTAAATAATAAAGTATTTGAAGGTTACTAGATTGAAAAATGGAATTTCAATAAGTAGAAAAATTAGTGTATTTTTTTTAATTATTATTTTGTAAAAAGAAGAGTTGTGCTTTTATCTTTGAATATTTTCTTAGAGTTATTAGGATTTTTAAGACCTAATCTTTCTTAATACTCCCATGTTTCCTCATTTGTCTCTTTGAAACCATTATATCTTCATAAATGCAAGTTGAGGAGTTTGAGAGGATCATAGTGATTTTACACCATTGCATTCATATGAACATTTTCAAGGTAAAATGAGTGAGTTATCTCAATCAAGATTGTGATTCAAAATGTGGATAATGAGGTTGACCTTCAACCTTGTAGGTTTTAACTTTGATTTACTTGTATGTCTTCTTGATGGGTTCTTAATGCCTTGAACACTTGTTTGTATGTGCCTTGATTAATTTAATTGAATTGAGTTATTGAATTTCAGGAGTTGATCAGTAAAGTGTCAATGAGTAAGTGTTTCAAAGTGAAGCGTTATAGAGTGAAATGTAATCGTTTAGATGTTGAATCATAGGGCCATAACAAATGGTATTAATAGGTCATTTCTCTTAGTACAATGTGGTTCAAGGACGAACCAAATGAAAGTTGCGTGGAGAAAAGATAGACACTAGAAGGGAGGTTGAATAGTGTATATAAAAAACTCTCACATTTTCAAGTTTGTGAAGTAGTATTTGTGACAGACAAAGGGTTAGTAAGAGTAATCAATAAAACAATGTTTTTATACTGGTTCACCTCAACCACCAAGGCCATGTCTAGTTCTCAATCCAACTAGATTGAGTTCCATTAACTTTCAATAAAATTACAAGTATTCTTTTACCAATCCACTTATAGCTCAAACAAGTGTTCTTTGATTGGTCTTTTCAAGTCATTATCCAAGTATTCTTTATAGACAAACCTCTCCAAGCTCAACCTCAAGTATTCTTTTATAAACAAGCCTCACTAAGATCAAACCCAAGTATTCTTTTATAGACAAATCTCTTCAAGCTTTAACCCAAATATTATTTTACAGTCAAGTCTTTCCAGTGTCTACCTTATAATAATGGTTATGAAGGTATTACAAAGTTGTAATCATCTATTTCATATGTGATTATAACAAATTGTTTGAGTATAAGAAAGCTCTTAAAGAAGATTGTTTAAGAGATGAGTACAAATTTTTTTTCTTCTATATTTACACTTCTATTCTCTATAACTCTTTTCTTATGAGTTTCTAGAGCTTGTTACATAGTAGCTTTGAAAGAAATGACCGTTGCAGCTTTTTGAGTCTGACTCATAGAAATGCTTCGTCTTACTCTTTCGTCTGATATTTAGAGATAAAAAGTATTTATTGGTGCATTAAATGCTTCAATTAATGTCTTTCACCTAAATGTACTTCTTATCTTTAATAGATCAAGCCATTTATCAAAGTAGAGTAGCAAAGCAGGAACAATAGGAAACAAAGTTAGTACGTAGGCGAGAATGCAATT